GCAGCCCAACAGTGTGGGCATCCCTGGAAATGGAGTGGAGGGGTTAGAGCTCATAGACCTTGGCCGACCTTCCCAGTCACTTCTCTGAATCCCTGCTGGGCCCAGAGACACGGCCCCCGCCATCTGCCTCCCCCAACTCATGCCCTCATCGAGCCATCTGCCACCCTCACCCCCCTGGCAGGCTCCACCGCCTTATGACTGGGCGCCCAGCTCAAGCTGCTCTGTGGGTGGCCACGCCGGAACCTCGCAGGGACCAAGGGACGTGCTGGGATGGGCTTGAGCCGGAGTGGGTGAGGGGAGCAGACTCAAGTGGCCTTTCTCAGAGCCAGGGCCCAGCCTACACCGCCTTCAGCTGGTTTTTAAAACAGACCCATTTTTCCAGCCGAGGTGTGGCCTTAAATATAATGGCCTAATTGAAATGCTCTTAATTCAGCTTCTTCTTTCCTTCCGGGTTCTACCACCTGCTCTCCAGACCCACAGCACAGCCCTGACCAGGGCCTGCTTCCCAGAGGCACTCTGCCTGCGCCCTTTCACACCCCCGCTCGGGCAGCCCTGTGACAGCACATCCACCCACACACCACTGAGCACACCAAGTCCCAGGAAGGTACCGGGGCAGGCTTCAGCAAGCCACGAGGCTCCATGCTTACTCTCAGGGACTGGCAGTCATGGCGAGGCTGCAGGCATCGGCCTGAGAAGGGAGGGTAGAAAGAGGGTGTCACCACCGCCACCCTAGTGCCAGGGCAAGGGTCCCCACACCAGGCATCTGAAGCAGGTGGCCTCAGGTCCTGTTCTGAGTCAGCTGTTCTTTGTGCCTGCTGCTTTTACCCAAGGTGGCCCTTGGAACTTGGCTTTCAAGGAAAAACCTGCAGCCAAGCCTGTCCCACAGCTGGAAGATCAGGATTTGATGCTGGGCTCCAATGCCCAGGAGGTGAGGATAAGGTTTGAGTCCCCATCCCTGTAGGAACCTGCTCAGGACCTGTCTCTGCTCCGCTCCTCTGGAATCATCTATAGTGCTGTAACCTCTCAAGTGAAACAGACAATCCCAGCTACCTAGCAAAAGAGGGACTGGGCCCTTGATCTGGTCCCTCTCTTCCCCAACGGCCCCTGCAAATTCCACGTCAGATTCTCCCACAGAGCCGGGCATGGTACCCCCCATTTCTTCTCAACCCCATTCCTTCCAAAACAAGCCTATAGCCTTTTTTCACTTCTCTGCAGTTGTTTTTCTGCTGGTAACCACAAGGAAATAGGATAGGCCTAACAAAATTAATCCTGGGAAGTTTTAAGAAACCTCAAAATTGTGGCTGGCTTTGCTTGAACCTTAGAACTGCAGTTCTGTGTGAACAAATAAGTCATCTTCTGTGTCCTTGGTTTCTTTGGCTGTAAGAGTGGCAAACCCAGAGTCGTTGCCAAGCTGCTCATGGTGGCTCACACTGGCTGGTTTCAGCTCCTTGGGAGACTGAGTTGAGATTGTGAGACCCTGTCTTGGAAAGAACGAAGGAAGGAAGGAAGGAAGGAAGGAAGGAAGGAAGGAAGGAAGGAAGGAAGAAAGGAAGGAAGAGGGAAGGAAGGGAAGAAGGAAGGAAGGAAGGAAGGAAGGAAGGAAGGAAGGAAGGGCAAAGAGAGAGGAGATACTTTCTAGAAGAATCATTGTAAAAGGCAAATGAGGCAAAGACCTGTGCAACTTTGAAATAGTCTTATTTTCTTCCTTTATGGAAATGGAGCTGGCCTGGTTACCATAATGATACTAATAATCATGGTAACCATCCATTTACACTTCTAGTGTAGACACAGTGTCAGACATGATGCCAAGGGCTCTGCCTGCACAGTGTCCTGTGTCCTCTGATCCTATCTTTTTTCTACACCCTTTATCAGGAGATAGCTCATCTCCCCCAGGTGCCCGCCCCTCTCCCTAGACCCAAGGCGATCTCCCAGGCCAGCCCTCCCTCCCGGGTAAGTCTCCCAGGAACACGTGTTACTTCCCAGAGCAGGAAGGTGGGCAGAAAACAGCCCCAGCTGGAAAATCAGAGTACGCCTTTCTGCACAGCTTCTTCAGAACAATAGACTTGCAGAAAAGCCGTGTGCTCTCCTACTGTGGAGCAGATCCACTGTGCCCTGCTGCTGCCTGCAGCCTGCCCCACGCCACAGCTGCGGCAAGCCTGATTTTCCCAAGGCCACACAGTGGCAGGGATTCATTGACGCTGAGCACCTGCAAAGTGCTCCACAGTGCCATCACGTTCCAGGCCCAGGCAGGGTGCTGGGGACTCAGGGCTGGGCAGTCCCAATAAGTCCATGTACTTATGGCATTGCCATATATGGAAAGGGCTCAGGACCTAAACAAACTCACAAGGCAAGACTGACAAATACTACGAAGCAAACAAGTCTGGGGCAGAGTGGTGGGTGGGTTAGAAAGGGAGGTATCCTCTGTAGGTGGGGTAGTCAAGAGGGCGGCCCTGAAAGGTGGCATTGAGCCGGGAACTGAGGATGAGTTATGAGAAGAGCTAGGGAGGAGGCGTCCAGCCGGAGAGAACAGGGAGTGCAAAGGCCCTGGGTCAGGAATGTGTTTGGGCTCTTCAAGGGTCCGGAAGGAGGTCAGGATGGTTGGGACGAAGCGAGTGACAGGCAGCAGGAGGAGAAGGAAGCTGGAGAGAATCAAGGGCAGCGCATAGCAATGGTCCAGTACTGGGCTTTATTCTCAAGGCAATGGATTGGGAGGCTTAAGCAGGGGCATGGTCTGTATGACTTATTGTTTAGCAATGTCATCCTGGTAGCTGTGTGAAGAGTGAATCGCAGGGGGCAAGCAATTGCTGAGAAGGGACAGTGGCCTGAGCCACCGTGCCAGCTGTGGGGAATGGAAGAAGGTGGGTGATGAAGATGATGAAGACTGAAACAAATGCACACGAAACATAAGCCCCGGGCCCAGCCTGGACCATGTGATGGTCAGCAGAGCAGGGTGGCTGGGTTGGGTGCTGGTGCTAGATGTGGGGCCACAGTTAGAAAGCTACATGGCTGGAACAGGGTCGAGATGACCACCTTTCCTGAGATTAATGCCACAAGCAGCCCTGGAGGTATCCTGGGGATCTCACAGCCTTCTCTGGTTCCCTAAAGTATGTGACCTCTTGGGATTCTTAAAAGGTCATTGTCAGAGGCACTTTTTGTGACACATGTGTTATAGAAATGAAAACCTAGAAGAAGTCAGAAGAGAAATAGCTTACATCCTTTGTATATTTTCAAGATGTTGTTTATATGGATTTGAAAAAATGCTTATATGTGTACATAATTAAGATTTCAAAATGCAGGAGCATATAGTGAAAAACTGTTTCCCTCCACTTCTGTGTCCCAACCTAGAAAAAATTCTGTTTTCTGTTGTGTGTGTGTGTGTGCTAGGGATGGAACCCGGGACTCTGAACGTGCTTACTCTGCCATTTTTGGAGAACAGCATTGGAATTCATTTTATATCAGCATGTGGATCACAATTCAATTTTTTTAGTGTCTACATATCATGCTCCTGCATCATATCAGAAGATGGACATTTAGATAGTTTCCAAGTGTTAGCTACTATGATATAAACAGTTCCACAATAAATATCTCCTCGTGGAGGTTTTTGGTTTCCATGTTGAATAGTTTCTTAGAAGTGGACTTTCTTGCACAAAGGATAATTATCTTTTTTCTGGTTTTTAAAATATTGAGTTTGACCCTTGGTACCAAAAAATAAAATGAAATAAAATATTAACAAAGTGCTCCTTGGCAAGATTGAATCAGTACCCTCTCTATCAGCACCAGCTGACTCAGAGGCCCTCCCCTTTACGATGTCAATCCAAGACTTTGACCAAATGCTTCACTCTTGCCAGTATCATGACACCTCACGATTTTAAGTGTGTTGGGGGTGAGTGTTATCTCTTCTGCAGCTCAGAAAGCTCCAGATCCAGAGCCTGCACCCCAGCAGTACTGAACACAGAAAGCACAGAGGTCACTGGCTGGAAGGGTGTGGTCAGTGTGGGTAAAGGAGGGCAGGGTGAGAGAATTGTTACCTAACAGATACCCAGTCCTGGCAGATAAGTCAAGCAAAGGGACATACAAGTCAAGAGGCAAAGGTAGGACGGCCAGGTCAATAACCTCCACCAGCCCAGGGACAGAATGCTGCATCTGTTGTACTTCTGCCCGTGCCAGCTAGAGCCCAGATGTGGGTGTCATGAGCCTCATTAGGGTGATGGGAACTGGGTCACTTGCTGGAGGAGATGGGCGTCTAGGAGCAGAGATAAAGATGAATGTTGACATTAAGACTTCCATGTTTCCTTTCTTCCCACCATAAACAGGTCGGTGGTTGCAAAGCAGGAAAATGCAGGCTCCATTAAAGAGAGAGAGAAAGAGCTTGTCAATAAACCCAGCAGCCAAATGAGCCCAAGTTTAGCATCACTCTCCAGGCCTGTTTGGGAGCCTCTTGACTGCCGGCTCTTCTAATGGGCTTCACTTCCGTGCACTCAAAGGTAATGGAATCAGTTTCAGCAAAAACAATGTTCTAAATAAAGAAATGCAATCAGAGCTGCTGACCTTCGCCAGAAAAACTCCTCTTGCAGGCCTTGGACTTAAAAAGAAGGGAGCAATGTGAGCTTGGAGAGGGACTAAACACATGACGAGACTGTGTGTGTGCTTGTGTGTGTGTGCTTGTGTTTGTGTAGATGATGAATTTTGAGCATAGCTAGAACTGTGTAGTGAAAAAGATATACCATGTTACTGTCACCTGCTTACTTACATAAAAACTCTTGAGAAAAAGTAGGAGGCAGGAAAACGTGACTGTTTGGGCACCAGAATCAGGCCTGTGTGTGGCAGGGCACTGTTTACAACGAGGCTTTCCAAAGGATCAGGTCTGAGGCTAGGCTTCAGCCTCACGGCCCATGGCTGCTCAGCAATCTGAAGAGGCCTCTTCAGAAAGTCCCAAGGTAGACGAGGACCAGTCACGAGGCTCCAAAGCAAGTGCATTCTAGAAGCTTGTGCCCACACAGACAGGGCTCACAAGCAACAAGGGTGAGAATCAAAGGGCCATGAAGCTGCCTGGAGGAGTTCAGAGGCCTGGCCCAGAGAAGCCCAGAGTGTCTGGCCAGCACTGACAGTCGGAGATGCCAGAGTTCCCAGCTGTCTTATCTGCTGGGTGAAGCTGTTCTCCCTCTCACTCTGTTTGTGATCTGGGCCATGTGCCCATCCATCCCACTGGCTCCGGCAGTCAGTTAACAGAGAAGTCAAAGACAGTGCCGGGCACCATGGGGAACAGAAACAAGTGCTGGGAGGTAGGTAATGGGGAGCCTTACCCAGGTGGTGGGGGTGCAAGTGTGCAGATGGCTTTGGGGAACAACCAAGCACTGTCTTGTGGAGTTGAATTTACGCACCAGTGAGCCAGCAATCATTCTCTCTTCTGAGTGTGTGCCCTGGGAACTCTTGCACATGTGTGAAAACGTGCACAAGGAGTGCTCAGACAAACAATGTTTATAATAGGAAGATTATGGCAAACTCAGCAGTCTATTACCTGAAGGAGGAATAAATTGTTAATCATAGCCTCCTTCCATAATTTAACACTATGCAAAAGTGAAAGTGAATGAACTATACTTACATTCAGGAAGGCAAAAGGATCCTAGAAACAAATGATACATGAACAAAAGTAACTTTTAAAAGACTACAGTATCCAGAAGGGTTATGCATGCCTGTAATCCCAGCACTCTAGACTGAGGCAGGAGGATTCCGAGTTTGAACCCCACCCAGGAAATACAGTAACTCACAGTGACTCTGTTTCTTTTTTTTTTTTTTTTTTAAATTTTTTTTATTTTAACGAGATTAAGACAAAAGAAGACACAACAAAGCAGATCAGAACAAAACAATGTAAGCAACAGTATTTCACCACAAGACAACCCGATATTAACAGTAGCTACCATAATGTGTCTTTCTTTGAAAGAGTTGAGCATACCTTCACATACAATAGAATCAACCATAACAAAATAGTATAAAAATATTCCAGAGAATGAAAGTATTACAGGATATTCGGAACCAAATAACCAAAAACGAACAATGGCTACTATATTATCTCATTTTTCCATAAAAAATTTGTTTATGCTCTCACATATTAAAATCCAATAAGATACAACATGACAGAACCAGTGGAAACAGAAGAACAAAAGCATGGTAGGACTTCAAAGCAAGATGATATTAAATCAGCACTGGCTGCCATAAGGTTTTGTTTTCTTTAAAATAGCTGTTCATACCCTCACACATAATAAAATCAAACAAACCAGAATAAAATCATTCTAACTAATGAATGAAAACATTATAAGACTTCAAAGCAATGTAATGGGGAATCATGATTACCATAAAATCTTATGTACTCTTAGCATTGCTTACACTAGGGACACTATACGATATTTATACATGTGAGTTTGATTTATTTCGCTTATGAGTATGAACTCAAGTTGTGTCCATTTATTTATAAATATCTCAATGTGATCGTTCTTTATAGCTGAGTAGTACTTCATTGTATAAAAATACCACAATATTTTTATCCATTCCTCAGTTGATGGATACATAGGTTGTTTCCAAGATCTGGCTATTACAAATTATGCTGCTATAAACATTGGTGCACATAAACCCTGTTTCAAAATAAGAAATAAAAAAAGAGCAAGTCATGGTGGTACATGCCTATAATCCCAGAACTCTGGAAGCTGAGGCAGGAAGATTTCTGGGAGTTTGAGGCCAGCCTGGGCTACATAGTGAGCTCAAGGCCAGCCTGAACTATATAGCAGGAACCTGTCTCAAAAAAAAAAAAAAAAAAAAAAAAAAAAAAAAAAAATACTGGGGATGTAGCTCAGTCAAAGGCCCTGTGTTCAGTCTCTAGTACTCAAAACTAATAATAATAATAATCATAATGATAATAATACAATAGCTCCACAGAATTTCTTCCCTAAAGTTTAAAAACAAGCAATGCCAGGTAATATTTAATAAGAAAGTCACAAAAATGCATTTTAGACTTTTTTAGAGCAAGAAATAGTGAACATAACATTTGGGACAGTTACATCTCGTAGGATAATGGAACAGGTCTGGAGTTGGTCTCTGTCACATTCTGGTTCTTTGGCCACATAGTGAGTCATGAGCTTTGGTTTCACTATGATGCTGAATTAGTTAAATGTATTTTATACCTATGTTTCCAGTGCTGTTTAATTTTTTTTAAAGTTATTTTGAGAGAGTCGTGCATTATATCCCAAGTCGCCCAGGCTGTACTCAGGCTTGTGATCCTGCCTCAGGAAACCCAAGGCCGCAAATCTGCTAGGCAAGAACTCTACCAGCTCCTGCATTTCAATTACTGATTACAGTTCAAATTAGCTCAAGCAAATGTTTAAAAATCTGGCAAATAATGGAGACAGAGCTTGTATTGGAGACTCTAAAACCCAAATACTGGGCAGCTCACTTCCTCACTCTCTGCTTCTACCTGTGGGCTGACCTCATTGTTTTCCTGCTCCACTTGGGGAGGAGAGGAAGAGATGTGGTAACTCCAGCCTCGTTTACCATTTTAGCAAATCTGAAAGGAAAGGAAAAAAATGTTTTAAACTGTGTTCCATCTACAAAAATCCCAGGCAAGGGTTCTGACTGACCTGGTTTGAGTCACACGTCTCTCTCTCCAAAGGTGGTCAGGAAGACTGGTATCCTGTGACTGGTGGAGTAGAAATGGCAAGTTTCTCAGAGACAACAAGGCGCTGTCACCCTGGGAAGGGAAGGGAGAGGGGAAAAAAAAGGGGAAGCCAGACAAATGTGGCACACTTGGGCTCCAGCTGCTCAGACAGCATGGGGTCGTGGGGAGAGCAGGTCCTCTGAGTGAAAATGAAAGAGAACTTGGGAGCTTTGGGAATGGAAGGACAGACCCTGCCAGACCCTGGAGACCGATGGCTGCCTATATGACACAGGGATGCCTCTGGGAGGCCCCCGGGAACCGTTTTAATTGCTCTGTGGGCTGTTCTGCTCCAGAGCGTAGAAACAAACCCTGATGGAAGGGCTCCCCTGGGAATGGAAGACAGGTATGCAGAAGGCAGAACACAGGATGTTGTGGAAGCCCAGAGGACACCCCCACGCAAGCCTCAGGCTGACGCAAGAAGTCTGGAACTGTGGAGGGGCTCACTAAGGAACAGGACATAGCTGTGGGCCAGGAATTCCTCCTCCTAGAAGGAGCAGCGTAGAAGAATGGTTTCCAGCCCAGCTAACCAGGCTCATCACCCCCCAGCCCATAGCATTCAGCAGTCCCACGCTCAGCTCATGAGCCCGGGGTGGGTCCAGCATGGGGACTGGCACCTAGCAGGTCAGTGACCACTGTCATGGCTGAAGGGGAGGCTGGTACTTCCCAGTCAAAGAGTTTCTGCTTAGGGAAAAAGTAGGTCTTGGAAAAGGAGCCTAGATCAGATCAAATCAACAGGCTACGAATCAGTTAAGAATCCAGGCCCTCAGAGTCTGCCCTGGACTAGACTCCTGAGTAACTCATGAATCTTAGTGTACGGATCCGTAAAATGGCCTTAATGCATGGGAGTTCTCCTTGAGGAGTGACCACGAGGCTCAGGTGATGCAAATTACAGGGGCACGGGGTTCTCCAGGTTCACAGTTGTGATTCCATGATTACTGAATCCCCGAGGTCAGAACTGGGAGCCTCCGGCAGTGCAGACAGCCACTGGAGAATTTAGCCTCCTACTCAGAAGCCCTTGCTGAGGACACCATGCATTATATCCCGAGCATCTTCTCCTTCAAGGCTTTGCATGTGCTGTGACCTCTACATCCTCCAGAGCTGGTTGCCCACATCTGAACCTAAGGAAAGTGTCATCTCCCTGAAGAACCTTTCTCCAATCACCCTAACTAAAAAGAAATCTTCCCTGAAGTCCACTGTGGTATTCATTTAGGACACTCCTCTCATCCCTGCTGACGCTAATTTGTCTGCCCCCTTTGACTGAGTACAGGCACCTGTTTCACCACCATGTCCCTACCCTAGCGTGGCACATGCTTAAATGATTACAAAGTGAATGATGATATACAACAACGGGTCTTCCATTTGAGTCTACTTCAGAGTGGCCCAGTCTGCCAAGAGACCATAACCTGAGCCTCACATCTCCCTGGCCCTTAATTGCATCTGGCTTTGCAAGGGTCCTGATGGTATGGTCCTTGTTCCGGTTAAGCCATGGGGACATCAGCACTGGACACATTAACTCTCAGGCCACCAACCCTTGGCCTTCCCTAGGGTTCTTGGGGACCACTCTGATCCTCCATGTGGGGCTGGGGTAGCCAGTCTGAGCTTGGCTAGAACATCTGTCCATCTGTCAATATTTCCAAGTCTACCCCAGACCTCAAGTGAGGTCAGAATGACATTTGCCACTGAGGAGTGGCCTGGGATGGCCCAAGGGAGAAAAGGCTTGTTGGACTCTCTCCTTGGCCAACTGTACTTAGTGGGTGGTTTAATATCTAAATGTCTAACCCTGAATAATAATTTATGATTTCACACTGACAAATAATGTCCCCAACACACAAGTGTGACAATCCAGTTTGCCAACAGCAGACTGTTTTTTCTCAAGGGCCAGTGATTTTTAAGGTGGAGTTTGTGGACCCTCTGTAATCAACCATGCTGGATCAGAATCTCTGCATGAAGCCTTAGGTTTGCATTTTCCTCAGCTAGCAACTGGTTAGGGAGGGTTCAAGTCTAGACAATTGGGTTTCAGAGCCCACGCTCCAAACTTTCACCCAGTGAAGTCTCTCAGCTTGTTGCACCACACAGCTGCCTCTCTCTTAGGGACTCTGCAACAGCGCTCTCTAACTTCTGGTGGCATCTTCCCCTGAGCAACCCATCTTCCTGCTGGTCTTTACTCTCACTGGTGTGTTAGGAGCACGCAGATTGATCTGAATCCTTCCTACACTCAGCAGGATGTCATTTGGGTCACTTCTGCATCTGACCTGGCCAGACCAATGCCAATCCCTTCGGGCTGCAAGAAGGATTTATTCATCCAACCAATTCATCTTGTGCCTACCGAATCCCAGGCCCTTTCTAGGCACCTGGGATTCAGCAAGGTCAGACTAGACAAGAATCTCGCCCACTGAGGGCTTCATTCTGTGAGGGAAATGTACACATGAAATCACAATGGCTTCTGCAAGGGCTGCTGGGAAGTAATTATAAGTCTAGAGAAGAAGGAAAGAATGGTGTAGGATGAAGTAATCAGAGAGGGTTTCCTGGAAGATTGGCACCACCTTTTTGATCATTGAAATCACCCAAGACAGAGCTTGTCTCTCCACATCTCAATCCCAGCAGAGTATCAGGTGCTATTCCTGTGGTTCGTAGCACCTGGATCCAGACCCGCAGGGGTCATATGAGAGTAGGAATAATGAGAAGATGCAGAGGGACAGAAAGTAGTACTGTTATTTCAAGCAGAGACACTGTTCTGGAATCCAGTCCTGACCTGCTTCCCTTGGGTTGCACTATCTGCAAATGAAGAGCCCTTCCAGCCTCAGTATCTACCGCTGTAAAGTGAAAACAATAAAACCACCAATGGAATTGTTGTGAGGATGAAATGCTCGTCTCAGGCTAAGGGAAAGTCACTGAGGGGAAGGTCTGGTCAGCAGGGATTGTTATTTATTTTGTTTTTGTACAAAGGGTCTCACTATATAGTCTAGGCTATTCTGGAACTGACGATTCTCAGCCTTGCAAATGTTATAATTATTGATGGGAGCCCTCATGCCCAGGTAACATTGTTTTGCTGAGCAGAAAAGGACTCTCTAATAGTCCTTACCTAGGACAAGGGTCTTGGAGGAAAGAGCACCACCTAAGTACATTTGAAGCCCAACCAAGCTTCCTGGTGTGTTAACTTGAGGAAATAATCTGATCCCTCTGGGCCTTGATTTCCCTATCCATGAAATGGAACTAATAGTCCCCTGCCACAGTTGCTGTAAGGTTTAAAACCACAAAAATTAAGATGTGTTAGGGCCAGTACCAACTCCCCACAATGAATGTGATATTACGTACTTCAAGTGTGTACTAATAAAAATTTTAAATTAAAAAACAGAATAAAGATACTTGAAGTGTTATTTGACACTAGGTAGGTGCTAAATCAATATTTTCATCCTTTTGGGATTTCCCTCCCCTAGTGACCCTTTGAGCAGCTCAGGTAACCTGATGGAAGCCTCCTACAGGATCCTGGGTCCTTTGAGGCAGGAGACCACAGCTAATGGCCTTCACTGTTCACTTTAATTCACTTGCTGGCCACGGCCTGACTGAGGAGGAGGCCAAACAGCCCAGGCCCCATTCTAGTCCCTCAGGCCAAAGATTCTCCAGTTAGAAGACTGCCCATATTGCCCTGGGAGAGCACAGACATTATTCCAAGACCCAGATACCAGCTCCTCCTTGGTGACGTCAGGTTTGACTACGTGCAGACTACTGTCTGCTCCCAGGGTTTCAGCCCCTGCCTCTATCCATGGCTGAGGCCCATACATCCTGCTACCCACTTGTTCTCTACTTGGAAATCTATAGAGCCTGTATATTTGTTTCTTATGGCTGCTGTAACAAAAGACCACATATTTAATGGCTTCACACAAAGGCATTGTTTTATAGCTCTGGAGTCAGAATGAGGCAGGAGGTTGAGGTGTGGCCAACTGATGAGCAAGTAGGTGCATGTGACCTGTCAATCACGAAGATCCAGGATACATGCAGACTAAATAGCCCCTGCACCTGGGATCAATCGGAAAGTGCTATCTTCAGTTCTTCTGCCACAAAATCAAACAGGCTTTGGATAGGATGGCCTACACCTGACCTCAGCTGGAAGAAAGAAAGCTAAAGAAGATGGTTACTATTACCCTTGTGGTTACTGCAAACTCTCTCAGTGGCCCACTCTCTCTCTCTGCAGAACATCCTTCTTTTCCTACATTTAGTAAATGTAAAACTTTGCTACCTTGTTCATATGTCTTGCCAAATTCTTTTTTCAGGATACTGAGAACTTGAATTTCCAGAACCAGAGAACTCAATAACCAAAAGTCCAAAATGAGTGGTATTGGGCTAAAACCAAGGTGTTAGCAGGACTGTGTTCCTTCTGCAGACTCCAAGTGGGGAGAAGCCAATCTCTTGCCTTTCCCAGCTCCCAGAGGTCGTCCGCCTCCCTTGGCTCACGGTTCCATTTGTCCATCTAGAACATCGACTCAAAGCATTCGTGAGCAGAGTCCTGGCATCCGGTCACTCTGGCTCTCCTGCCTCCTGTTTGTTTTATAAGGTCCCTCATGTTTACATTGGGTTTACCATGGTAATCCTGGGTAATCTCCTCATCTCAAAATTCTAGACTTAATCCCATCTACAAAGTCCTCCTTGGCATATTCACAGGTATATTCTGTTGGGGACCATACTTCACCCCAACTCTGTCACCATGGGCACACAAGAACTCTTGCTTTTGCTTCCTCTCACCTGCTCTTACTGTCTTGCCCACTCAAACCTGAGAGCTCGGCCTGATTCCTCCTCCTTTCGCATTCCACCCCCACCTAATTCACTGTGTCTGAAAGCCTTGTCTGTACACTTCCTCTTCAGCCATCCTTGCCTAAGCCACCACCCCTCCCATCTCCACCTAGTCATCGGAACAGCCTTCACACTGGCCTCTGCTCCCACTGTCTCCCTACGATCAGTCCCCCAAAGCAACTAGTGATCATTCATCACCTTACTTTTTCAACACGCCAGTGGCTTCCCATCTCAGCAAGAACCAACCTGGCCTCTCCACGATGGTCTGCAAAGAAGGTCCCATGGAGTCTGACCTCACCAGTCTCTTCCTTCTCACTCCCAGAGTTCCAGCCATCATAGAGTCTACAGATCTTCAAACAGGCCATATTGGGGCAGGACCTGTGAACCTGAAATGCTCCTTCCCGATTCACACACAGCTGGCTCATCTTGGTTAAACCATAATCAGTGTAAATAACACCTTCTCAGGAAGGTCTCTCAGGCCTGCAGGTCTAATCAGCTTCCTTTTTCCCCAGCCCCTGCCATGAAGATGGCTTTGCTAGTTTATTTGTATTTTGTCTGTCTTCCCCATAGAAGGAAGCTCTAGAACATCAAGGAATTCACCTGGTTTACCACTGAATTCCTAGCCCTGAGCTAGGGCCTGGCACCTAGTAGGTACTAGATAAATTAAATGTCAACAAATGTGATGGGGGCAGTCCTTAGTTTCTGTCCACAGAAGTCTAAACTCTAAATACTTACTGTTCAGGTCCCCTTGAGTTCACTGAGCCCACTATGTGCAGCTTTCAAGGGCTTGGAGGAAAGCCCCCTCACTCCTTCCAGGAACTTGTCAAAGGGAAGGAAAAGCTGAGCTCTCACATCTGAGGCTTCTCTGATGAGAGCTACAGGGCAGAGGGCTTACAGCAGGGGAGCTCAGAGAGAACAGAGCATCCCCCTGAAAAAGAGAAGATCTTATCTAGGGGATGGGGGTCCACAGGCTGAGAGAAAGGTCTGGAAAGACTTCTCATAGTTCCTTCTGAGGCCATCATAGTTAATTCAAGAAATTTTAGCTAGGCATTGCGGTACACACCTGTAATCCTGATCATTTGGGAGGCTGAGGCAGGAGGTCTGAGGCTAGGGGTGAGGTTCAGGGGTTGAGCACTGGCATGTGTGAGGCCCTGGGTATAAATTCCCAGTAACAAAAAAATTTTTAAAAAAATAGAAAAGAAACTTTAATCTGAGGAATAGACAACAGGTGAAGATCTAATTTTTGCCCCAAGCAATCTGCAACTCATCAATAGAGACAAGCAACAGAAGGACAGTAGAGTGTTAGAAGCAGGGCCACGCAGGGAACCACTTGGATTTGGGTCAGGTAAGCCTAGGCCGTATCTCCGATCCTGACCAATAGGTCTCAGTTTCTCTGTGAGATTTTAAAATTCCTTACCAGGTTGTTTGGAGGCTTAAAGAAAGATATTAAATGTAAGAGCTGGATGTGGTAGTACACGCCTGTAATCCCAGCACTGGGGAAGTACAGGTGAAAGGCCAGCTATGAGGCCAGCCTGGGTCACACAGGGGGTTCAAGGACTGAGCAGTGAGACCTTGGACTACACAGTGAGAACCTGTCTCAAATAATAATAGTAAATATAAAGAGCTCAACACTCAGGAAAAACTCAATAAAAGGGAGTTAGTGTGGTTAAAATAGATGGGACTCCTAGTCTTTTTGAAATTCCCGGGGGTGGAAGAGGAGCTTGGTGTGTATAAAGGGAGCATCTCCACCACCACAGACACTGCAGGACCAATACATCTCCAGGCAGAGACCCTAGGAGACTGTGAGGCAGAGGTCTGGGAGTGGGGACCCAGCAATATGTAGTTTAACAAGCTCCCCGAGTTGTATTTAAGCCTTTCAAGACTGTTCAGTGCAGTCATGCACAGTAAGCTGGGTCCTCCTGGATTTTGCCTTGAAAGCAGCAATGGGGCCAGGGCTGTAGGTCAGCAGCACAGCACCTGCCTGGCAAGAGCAAGTCCCTGAGTTCGATTCCTGGTACCAAAATAGACAAAACAAAAACATCAAAGCAGCAACATCTGAGCTTGCTCTTGAGAGCAGCATGGGAAGCTTGAAGCCTGAACCCTATGGGCACTTTGCTTGAGTTGGACTTTGCAATGTACAGTCTGAAAAACCTCTAGTTTGCAGGTCCCAGGGCTTGTCCATCTCAATAAGAACCTATGTGGATGTGGTCTACACGGGGGTATGGCACAGAGTTGAGCTCCTGGGAACGCTGGCCTGCTCTGCCTCTGCTTGGGCTACTTCCTCCATAATTCCACCTCCTGCGCTGCTCTGTCTTCCAGGCCTAACCACTACCTCTTCTATGCCACCAGATGCCAGGGCTAAGCCCACCGATGCTCACTGCTACCGGTAAGTACACTTACCGACCCTAGTGCAGGGCCCACGTATATGTTGTCTGCTCCCCTCCCCCTGCCTGTGCACATTTGCCTTCATTAATCCCTCCAAACTCAGCTCCCAGCAAGCAGTGCACACCTTGAAGTTGCTTCCTGAATGTTCCCGGTATCAATGTTGGATTGATCCTCCTCCTGCCCCTCATTACAATGAAAGTTGAGAGAATTTAAATGCAAGGTTGTATTGAAGTACTAGCTTTGCACTGCACTTAGCCTTCGGGAGACACTTGGTGACAGCAATGTCTATAAGGAGCTCCACTTCCCCTAGTTCCTACTAAGGAAAGCTGGGCTATTCTAGGAGAATCAAGATGAACACTTTCCTAACAAAGCAGAGTTTTAACCCACCAGTGGAATCCTGCTTAATAACTGGAAATGACCTGTCATCCACTTTCCAGTTCCTGAGGTGTTGTCACACAGAGGAAGCCAGTGCCTGGGACCAAGATCAAAGACCACCTGATAGTCTTCTCCCTGTTATGACCTGGAAATTCCACCAGCTTGACACTGTTGTGTGTTTAAGTCAACAACCAATGGCTTTCCATCTGGCCTGCAGTAAAAGCTAAAACCCTTAAAATTCCGATAATGTTCTTGGTGATTTGCTACTCTACACATTATCCTCCATCCCTCCTACTTGACATTCTCACCTGCAAGTCTTCTCAAATCTAAACTGGAGTTTCTCACTCTTAACATTTGGGGCAGGATAATTCTTTGGAGGTGGGGGGAGCTGTATAATGCATTGTAGGAGGCTGAGCAGTACCCCTGACCTCTACCCATTAGACACCAGCAGCACATGAACCCCTTTCTTGCCCCACAGTGAGAAACAAGAATGTCTCCAGACATTGCTATGTGTCCGCTGGGGTGGCCCTCTGCTGAACACCACTGTACCCCTCTTCCACAGCCACATAGCTCTCTGCTATTCTGCTCCCACCCAGGGTATTTACACTTGACCTTTGCTCTGATTGGATATTTGCAATGGTGTTGGCACTGCTTCTGCACCTTCTCTCAACAGTAATTTTGGCAGGGGATCTTTTTGAGACTGGGTCTCGCTATGCAGTTCAGGCCGGCCTTGAGCTCACTTTGTAGTGAGCTCTTCCTGCCTCAATTTCCCTTGAGTGCTGGGATTACAAACATGGGCCACCACACCTGGCTGCTCAAAAGTAATTTAAAACCATCCCGATAATCTCTAAAACCTCTCTCCCACCTGGTTTAATTTTTCTCTCTAGCATTTACTGTTGTTCAGCATACCACAAACAACCCTCAACCTGATGTCTAGTCTAGGAAAACCTGCTCCTGTCAAAACCTGCTCATATCCATGTACAGAATTTGGAAAGTGTTCTGCGCATGTGTCCTGGGATTTTATAACTAACAGGTCACGCCTACTTCCCCAGTCAGTTAGAGCACACCCTAAACACCTGTTTCAACATAATGCAAGAGCAGCCTCACGATATCCCTCTCCTTTGGCAGGGAGCCCATCATGATGTGTATATTCAAATCCATATTAACATACTTTTTTTGTTTTTACATATTCAAAGAATGATACTGGCCAACCTTTTCTGAGTGTTTCCTGAATGCCAGGGATTATGTTAAATATACAAACCTCTTTATTTAACCCTCTGCACAACCAGATGAGATTGGCTTTATATTACACTCATCTCACTTTCACTGATGAGATGCAAAAAACCCAGGATCTGATTCAGAGACGCAGCTGAGTTTGACCTAAACAAGCCGTTACAGTTTCCAAACTCCCCTGTTCCTAACCACTATAAAAACTGTCTCTCTCAAAATGTTATCAGAAAGCCAAACAAGAGGCAGAAGTAAACAAGGAGAACTGAGTGCACTCCCCCAAAGGAACTAGATGCTACCAGTTGACAGCACTGGAGCATAAAAAGAATGTGTAGGTCTAGGAGTATTGCTCAGTGGTAAAGCACTTACACAAGTCCTGTGTTCAGTCCCAGCATCTCACACACACATACTCTCTCTCTCTCAGGGAGAGAGAGAGAGAGAGAGAGAGAGAGAGAGAGGAGAGAGAGCAGAGAGATGGATTTTTTCTTTTCCTACAATGGTAGTGTCAGATTTTTTTAGTGCCACTCAGATTTTTTACCCTTTAATAACGTATTTTGAGTAAGACTTTGAACTTCACTAGGATGAAGCCCCACTCCCTCCTTAGAAACTTTAGGATGAAGAGACATAATGAAGATAAAGGTGCTGATGGGTACATAACGTGCTGGCCAAAACAGCAGCCAGACAGGTTTGGAGTCTTGCTTGTCTAGGAGCTGCCTCCCTAAAGGGTGTTTGCTCCTTGTTTTTGTCCTTTAGCTTAGGTGGCTTCAAGCTACCACCCCATTGGCTGGGAAATGATAGGTCAGACTTCCCCAGTTCCCTGCAGATGGGGCTAAAGAAGACAAAGGGCTTTGGTCTTCACAGTTCTTATCAAACTCATGACTCACTTTTCAGGTGGAGCCATACTGCTGGGTACCAAACTCATGGCTGTGTTCATTTAATCTTCTCAACCCTATCAGGTAGATCTTACTGCTACCTTCTTATAAATGAGAAACTCATGTTCAGAGAAGTTAGTAACTCACCCAGCTTCATACAAGTAACCAGGGGTGGAACTGCATACATAAGTTTCTTATAACATCCTAAGGAATCACAGCAGATGGAGCTGCCTGAAATCTTGTAACTCACACTCCCTGTTTCATATCAATGAAGCACAGCATCTCAGGGCTCTGACAAAGGTGACTAAAAGCTTCACAGCTGAGTTTCTGGTTTTCAAATGACCCTTGCTTTAAAATACCTCCAGGGAAGCCATGGTCGTGAATTAGAAGTAGTAAGTTCTGCATAGCGGTGCCCCAGGCATTGGAGTAACCAACTTCCTGAAGGGATTTACCTAAAGCTAAACAGAATTAAACTGCATGTCAGTATTATAAATCAAGGGCAGGGACTCTAATCCATAACATCCCCCAAAGAGAAAAGCCCTAGACCTGCCCAAGATGGGTTTGCCAATAGGGATGACCTCGGGGAAGAGCTAGGGTATTAGGGATAAAGTTAAGAGAAATTGCAGTTGCAAATAAAGAATCTCCTCTTTGTATTTCTTTTAGTGCTTTTGAGCTCAAGGTCCCATGTATGCTAGGCAAGTGCTCTACCTGGAAGCTAACCCTCCACTTCCTGTGCAACTCTGTCTCCTTCAGGTATAGAATTTTTCCCTGAGTGAATCTTCCCTGGTCTTCAACTGTTTCCCCAGTCCATCCTGAGGACAGGAATGAAGTGTCTCTTCCTTCCCCGGTCAGTCTATGGAGAAAAAGCCAGTACCAATTTCATGTATTCCGTGGGCAGATGACAGTCTAGCCTGTCTCCATGGAGCCAGCTGTGGGCCAGGCTAGGACTGTGGCCTCGGAGGGCTTAGGAGAGATGACTGCTTGGTCAAAGGGAGAGAGGTATAACCATGAAGGAAGGAACACTGGGCACAAGGGCATGACACAGGAGAGAGAGGGAAGATCATTCAGCCCTGGGGTCTTTGATTGTGGCTGAAAGTCTTGTGTAACCATGAGCAAATTACCATGGCTCTCCAAGGGTGAGTGATTCTCCATAGGCATGGAGATACCCTGTGAGTGCCTGTAAGTAAACATTGTATTTGTTTCCTTCTGAGATCGGAAAGGCAAGGGAGATAGAGCAGGCAGAGAGAAAAGGCCCTCTGTAAATATTAGATAAGTGAAGAAAAGGTGGTAATAGCAAAGACTTTTCCCATTATTGGGGATTGAACCCAGGATGAGCTGAGCTTCATTTTTTTGTTTGTTTTGTTTTTTAGCCAGAGTCTCATTATGCAGTTCAGGCTGGCCTTGAACTCACAATGATCCTCCTACCTTAGCCTCCCGAGTATTGGGTTTTCAGGTATGTACTATCAACATTTGGCTATTGAGCTACATTTTCATTTTAAAACGGCCTTGCTAAAATACCCAAGTCAAACTGGAAATTTTCTCTGAGTATCTGTGATTATAAACTTGTAGCACCGTGCTCAGTTCAACAACAGAGATTTTATGGGAATTCAGAATTTTTTGTTGTTTTGTTTCGTCTGCCTACATGGTTTAGTTCAAGCTGGGTCTCCCTATGTAGTCTCTTCCTATGCAGTTTAGTTCAAGCTGGGTTAGAAGATACCATGTAGCACAGGCTGGCCTCAAATTCAGGCAATCCCCCTGCCTCAGCCTCCCAAGTGCTGGAGTCATTTGGATGTGCCACTATACCTAGAAGGAATTCAGATTTTTGATTCCTAGTTCAATGCTCTTTCCTTTAAGATGATAGAAAGCAACTCTAGGTCTGGACCTGTCATTAGCTTTGATTTAGCATGTTAAGGCTGAAAAAGCAATACTCAAAACAAAATTATTTTTTATTTCTTGGCATTTTCCATATCTTTGACAATGACCACACCTTGCTCTTGTAACAAGAAACAAACAGGAAAATAAACAGAGGGACCAAGACAGGTGCTTCTGAAAGGGCAGGCTCTTGGAGGAGTCTCTGGGCCCCAAGTTCATGGACCCAGCTACCGAGGGAAGGACTAGGGGCAGAACTGAGAACACCTCTACTGAGGCTACCAGAACCAGAGTTGATGAGGTGTTCTCAGGATTCTGCAGATCTGCAAACTCCCTGAGACTAAGGACTGGGCGTGCCATTTCCAAGGGGAGGACAGCACTCGTATAAAGGCACACCTGTGTGCCCCCAAAACTGTCATCATTGCAGACTTCAATGACGAACAAAGCACCAGAGCCAAAGAAGGCCCAAGACCCTACTAAATTCTTCCTTTGCTCTCACTAACTGGCAGGAAGGAGAGAGGGACCCGCTCACAGGCTCACAATATTTAGTTCTGCTTTTCCCCTGAGCTCACCCTCACACCCCATTCTGAAACAGTAAGGGGAGAGGCACAGTTTTTAGGTTATTACACTCTTGCAGTGTCAGACACCATCTTCTTCCTCCTAGACCAGTGGCTGATGAATCTTAGCTTCCAGCCCAGTTAAGTTCAAGTTCCCAGGTCTCTCTGCTACCTCTTCCCTGACCTCTGCAGCCCTGATCCCTGCTGGTTCTAGCTTCCTCCCTGAATACCTCCTAAAGAACCAGTGGTCCTCAGCCTCAGCAGACACTGAACTCCATTCCAGCTCTCAGCTCCTCCCACTTCAGGGTGTTGAGAGTGAGCTGGTGGGGGTGGGGGTGCTGTATGTGGCCATGCAGCTTGCAGGATAGAGAACTCTAAGGGAGGAGAAGGGGAGGGGGTGGCTTCTGGGAGGCACAGCAGTATCTGGAGCTGTGTGTAGGATTCCTGAACAAAGGAAGAGGGGTCTGGGAAGGAAGGAAAAAAGTTAGAGGAGGGTTGTGGCCCAGTGGTCAGAATGAGGACCTTTGTGTTCCACTAAGGAATCTGGATTTTATCAGTGTGTAGGTGGCATTGAAGGTTTTTGAACAGAACAGGTATGCTCTTTGCTCAGCTTTATGCTTAAGAAGATCACATTGCAAAGGAGATCAAGAGAGCTTGGAGATTGTAAACAGAATGCTACTGTACAGCTGGGGGGGGGGGAAGAGTTAGAAAATGCAGGGTTCTTTGAACCAAAGTTAGGAATTTCAAGCCAGCAACAACAGAGCATTAAAACAATGGGGAGGGATCCTTGAAGCACAAGGCCCTGTGTGGCTGCCCAAGGCACACACCTGTGAAACCAGGATTGGAAAGCAATTCCAGGATTTGGTGACCTAGGGTCCTGGGATGAGAGGGAACAATCTAGCAAGACAGCTGACAGGTGGCCTTTCTCCACTAATTCCCAGGCTTCCAAGCTCTACTGCTTGCTGGGCACTCTTCCTGGGTGGTCATGATCAGTTCTGGGTTATAAAGTCTCAACATTACCCCTCCTCATTTTCCTCCCCCACTCCACTGTTGCTATAGGGCAGAGGTTGGGAACCTATGGTCTAGGTGCTGCAGAGGGCACCCAGGGAGCCCTCTCGTCAGCACGCTAGCCAAGTTGCCCCAGGAGCCAAGCATCAGATAACAGTTTTTATTCTTTATGCTACAATCTTGGTATTCAGGTTTAATTGCATTGTTGGCACTTTGCAATAAATTAATGGATATTGGGTTGCAGTTTGGGCACTTGGGTCTCTAAAAGCCTATCACTCCTATAGGGTCACTAAAGGTACAACCATTCTCCCAGTCAACCTGATGTGGAATTCGGGACCAGGCCTAATGGAGACATGGCAACAACTAAAATCCCACTTATGGCCCTCCCACGGGTGTTACCCTCTATTCCTCTCTCTTTACCCTAACCCTTTAGGCAACTTGCTCTCTAAATAATCTTAAATGTTCTCCCCGTGGTGTGGCCTCTTCACAACTGTGGTCACAACCAGGTCCTTTTCAGTTTGGGCCTAGATTTCCCACGACAAACTTGCCTTCCTGGGTCTGGGGATTTAGCTCAGAAGCATAAACACCTGCCTTGCAAGCAGGTGGTCATGAGTTCAATCCCTGGTACCGATAAAAATGAAAAAGACAAAAAAAAAAAAAAATTAAAAATAAAAAACTTGCCTTCCTTTACTTGGCTCAGGCTGGATCCCTCTCACATAAAACATCTTCCCTTCCTGGGAGGTTAGCCCAAATGCTAACCTGGCTAGTCCACTGAGTAAGACCCAAAGGATAAGATCAAAATGCGTTACATAATGATGCATAAGGCCCTGTGCCACCTGACCTGCTTTATTTTCTAATAAATACCAGAAGTGCTAGTCTCCCACACATACCACACAGGGTTGTCGTTTGTTTGTTCCTTTACCTCAAACAGTTTCCTGTGCCCAAAATGCCCTCTGCCTGCCTCTTCACAGCCTGGCTAACCGCACACACCCAGGGTGTTGCGCTGGCCACAGAACCTCAAAGAGACCTACGACTGGACCTGGCCTCTTTTCTGGGCTGGGGGCAGAGGGAGCAGACAGCACCCAATCCAAATCTTGGCGCCTGTGGTGCTCCACGTGTGCATGGCTCTGGACTGAAACAATGGGCAAGCGGAGAGCATTGGTGGACAGACAGGCTAGAAGAGAAGCAGGTTTCCGGAAGGCTGGCATAGATAACCTCAGAGAGTAAGGGGGAAAAAACCTTACATGGTGTTGTCTTCAAGACCCCACAAACAGGATGAGGACAGCTGTGACCCAGAAGCAGTGCCAGCTAGCCTGGTGTCCAGATTGCCTGCATTTGATTTCCGAATTTGATTTCTGCTTCCTTCTAAAAACCTCATTCTTCTATATCGGCTGTGTACAAGCGGCTCTCCAGCGGAGGCAGGCTGTTTTCCATCAAGCAGCCCAGCTGGGTTAACACGGCTAGCATGGCTGGGGGCAGAGACACGGTTCCTTGCCATGTGTCCCTGCGGCTAGCAGAGCCTCAGCAACCACTTGCAGAAAGGGTGAATCATGTCTAGTTCCCCAGGAACGACGGTGGAAGCCTGTAAGCTCCTGGGGAATGGAGGGGGCAGACAGCTGAGGATTATACTTGATCCACAGATAATCCCCCAAATCCAGAAGCCACCTGGACAGCCGTGTACTGCAGTGTTTATGTACTGCTGAGTTCACGACAGGTCTCCCAGGAACCAGAGAAGGGTTGCTCAAAAACCAAAAAAAACCCCAAACCAGTTTATTACTCCCTTTACTATTGGAGGCCAGAGAAATGGACTGTCAACTCTTGTGAGGGCTGAATAATTTGAGATTAACTGCTGGCTCCTCTCCCCCTCACCGGGTTGTCACTTTGAGAAACTTTTATTATGGAAAATTTCCAATACAGTATACTGCAACATGGAGAACACGGTACTGCAAACCCCCAGGTATCCATCGCTCAGCTTCAGTGGTTTACCAACACACGTCTGATCGCGCCACATCCGTCCATCCCACCCCGGAGGCGAATCTCAGATCTCCTTACACGCCTGAACACTCAGGTAGCGACCAGGGTCCGCTGCTGATTCATCTGGAGGCGCGGCCCCCACCACATTCCCAGCCTACGTCTATAAAACGGAATACGCGGCGCCGCCGCCGCCCCCTCGTCTGCCTCCTCCTCTTTCCGAGCCACGTTGGTCACCATGGCCGGGTGCCGTTCCCGACCCCGCACCAGCAGGCCCGGGTGATGCGTGAGTGAGTGGCCGAGTCCCTCCGCGCACGGAGCCGCGGAAAGCAGGCGGCGCCGTCCTCTTCCTCCTTTGGGCTGAGTAACGCTCGCCCCGCCCCGCGCGTCCTGCTCCCGCCCGCCCCGGGGGCGTGGCCTGACGGGGGCGGGGCAATACCCATATTTGGCCTTATATGGGCAGCCACGTCACGGGCGCTCACTCATTCACATAAAACGCCGCGCTGCCTGCGGAATCCCCGGCTTCTGGGGCGAGACGTGGCGAAGCTGTCCGCTGAGCGTGCGGGGCGGGAAGGAGCGGTGAGAGGCTCCTCTGAAGCTGGGCTCTGTCGGCTGGCCGCAGCCCCGCGGCAGGCCGTTCTGTGTCGGGCCCGCAGGCACCCTGGCCGTGGGCACCTGCGGGGCGCGCGGCGGCATGAAGGTCACGTCGCTCGACGGGCGCCAGCTGCGCAAGATGCTCCGCAAGGAGGCGGCGGCGCGCTGCGTGGTGCTCGACTGCCGGCCCTACCTGGCGTTTGCCGCCTCGAGCGTGCGCGGCTCGCTCAACGTCAACCTGAACTCGGTGGTGCTGCGGCGGGCGCGGGGCGGCGCGGTGTCTGCGCGCTACGTGCTGCCCGACGAGGCGGCGCGCGCGCGGCTGCTGCAGGAGGGCGGCGGCGGCGTGGCGGCGGTGGTCGTGCTGGACCAGGGCAGCCGCCACTGGCAGAAGCTGCGCGAAGAGAGCGCCGCGCGCGTAGTGCTCACCTCGCTGCTCGCCTGCCTGCCCGCCGGCCCGCGGGTCTACTTCCTTAAAGGTGAGCTCGTCGGGCTGCCGATCCTGCACCGGGACTCCGTGCCCCGGGGTGCGCTCCCTGCGTGCGGCGCCCTCCACCCGGACCCAGGGGAATTGCTGCTCCCGGAGCCTGCTCGCCCCGGTTTGGCGCGCTCTTGGGAGGGCGCTGCGAACAGCAGCACCCGGAGCTTCCCCCTCCCCAGCCGCGTTCCTCGAAAGCGTCTGGTAGCCTGTCTTGTCCGCCAAGCTCTTGGGGGGCCGGTTGGGTTCCTGGGATTGCTCCTTAGTGATTTGAGGGCCCTGGGCTCGTGCCGGTCGCGAGCGTGACTCCAGGGTTACCGCTGTCGCTGGGGGCAGGGTTCGGAGCCTTCCTTAGGTCTGATGCGATCCGCCAGTCAAAGCCCCATTTCTGGAGTTTAGCGCCTGGCGCCGAGGTGTCCCCCTTCTCCCACCTACCCAATTGAAGTATCCTAGGCTGTCTTCGCCGTCTCCGTTTGCCTTTTTGACCTTAGCGAGACTCTTCCCTTCCTTTCTACCTATGTTTTATTGCTTTTTATTGTTTTCCTCCGGTCTGCTCTCCTCCCCTCCTAGGTCTTTCTCAAGCTCAGTTGAGACCTGATACCTTTCCCACCCCTTTCACCTTCTCTCTTCCCGGGGTTGGGGTTATTCCTGGGACACGTCCTGGACCGAGTGTATTGTTTGGCCCGTTGGTAAGCCACAGGCTGGTCAGCCTGAACCTAGGAGAGATGTGTAGAGATTTTTTAGCCTAAGCCGCCGCCAGGCCTGCCCATTTCACCTGCTTTTGGTCTCTCCTTGTGGGTGGGTGATAGACATAACGGCGCGTTGATTTCTAATTACTTCTCGTGACTGCTTCTGCCCCAGCTGTATGGGAGAGGGCTTAACACCCCACTTCCAGCCCTGGGAGAACCCCAAGGCTGTAACTAATATGATTCAGAACTCAGGTGCGGCGGAGCAGAGGGTTAGGTAGGACCCTGTTGATGCCAAGTGGCTGTGGGGAATTTCACACACTTGCAACCAGAACGGATGATTCTAGAGGCAGGAGGCTCCATGATTCAAGGCTCGTGGGCAGCTTCCCTTCTATTAGCACCTCTTGCTGTCTTTTGTGGATCCTTTTGGGGAGATAACAGCTTGAAGCCCCAGCCCCCAGGAGGTGGAAGGAAGGCCTTCTCCACCTCACTTAAGAGATCTGAAAGGTGTGATTTTGTCTCCAGTACTAAGCAATGGTGGGGGAGGGGGGTCTGTCTCCCCAGTAGCTTGAAAGATGGCAGGAAACCATTCCGGGTCCAGACGGGTACCCTCCCCCTTCAGGGGCCATGCTCTCAGTTTACAAATCATTGCCACAGGAAATAGCTCTGTAGATTCAGAAAAATTAACATTAAAAATTTTTTTAATGAAGTAACATACCTAGGTGAAAATTGAAACAAATGGTGTACAATGAAAAGTGATCCTTGCAGTCCCCAGAGACAGTCCCCAACTATTTCTTGTTCATCTTCAGCTAAGTTCCCACAAGTGTCTTTTAAAAATAAATTAATTATATACCCTGTGCCTCTTTCACCCATCAACATCTTGGAGACTTGTCCACATCAGGGCGCACATGTGCCTTCACTGGCAGTGGCCATGGGTTGCTTCAAGCCTTATGGTTGGAAGCAGTGTCATGGAAGCTCTCTTCATTCATGGTTTTTACCTGTGCAGTGACTTATCTTTTGGGAAGATTGAGAATGGCCAGGTCAAAAGTTATGTACATTTGAAAATTCTGTGGAAATTGCTACCCTAACAAACTATTACAATTCCAATGGCTATCAGTGGACAACATCCGTATCTCTTGTCCAACTACAAGTGTAGGCTTTAATCTAGTGACATTCAGATCTTAGGGCAGTGCCTCTTACACTTTCCCCATCCTCTCTCCAAACAGACTCACTGGAATGAGGTGGTGATTCTCAAATTGCGGGGCCAGTGCCTATTTTTATATAGTGTCTGTGTACCACCTCTTTGCCTGCAGTTTGTTGGTGATTGAAAACAGACTCACTCTGAGAAAGCTTGAAGCAGCCCTAAGAATTGTAATGAGAATGAGACACCAGAGAGGAATGTTCTATCTCCACACCTCTGATGGGAGTGGGTGGAAGACAGAGACCATCTAACATCCTTCTAACCCCAGTTAAAAAGACAGGGCCCTGTTTATCTGTCCCTTAACCACATAGAAGCTTTGTCTTCCTTGTTTTGTAAACAGGCAGACTTAACCCTCTCCTCCACATGCACACCTCTGATGCCCTCCTGGTAGCCAGCTTTTAAGTGATCTGTTTAAAACCTAGAGATGGGATGGCTTACAGGCTTCTCTTCCATTAGCTTCATCTCATAGTTTGGGAGAGCTTGTGCTCCTCGACTCCAAATTTCCTCCCCAAATCACTCATTTTCCCTCCTGGACCCCCAAATGGCACAGGCATGGGTGCTGGAAGCAGTCCAGGTAATTTACTGACAAGGAAGGTGTGAGTTGGTGTAACCTTGTGGCATTCCTAGAAGGGAAGGAGACTAGGTATGGAAAGGGAGGCTTAAGCCACTAAAGCCTTCCCCTCTGCCCCCCTCCTGACCACCCCCCAACCAGGCCTCTTGTCATCATGACAGGAAGCATGGTCACTGTGGAGGACCAGAAGCGCATCCGGGAAGGCGCAGTGGGCTATTTGTTGCAGTGACCACAGGGGAGTGTATACTAAATGGGACGGGGGCCGTTCCAGTGAGCCGAGAGGAAGCAGTAATGACAAGATGACTCATTCTAGGAATTGGCTGCCTCTTCTGGGAGGGAGATGGAGCCTGTCATGTAATCCATTAACCATTTGTCAACTGCAGGGGTTTAGAAAAGCTGGCATCCCCTCCACCGAGAAGCTGTCACAGTATCCAAAGGCAGAAGAAGAAAGACTCAATTTTTGGAAATGACATAATGTCAGAAAGAATATGTTGAACACCAAACAAATTCTTTGGGCCAGCAAAAGAAGTGTGTTTGTTTACCCTGGGTGGGAAGCCAAGGGTGACACTCAGGGAAGTTGACCTTACCTCTTCCTCCTGTGTGCACAGTTGTATCTGTCAGTAAAATCATGAAGCTTGTCAGTTGAAATTAATGTGCGTTTCACTGACAAGCCCTTGGCCTTCTGAGGCCAAGCTTTTTATAAAGCTTATTTATATAGACACAGCTCTGGCTTTAAGTAATCTACCCGGTGAAGTTTAAATGTAACACTAGGATTCCTCCAGGCCGGTGTTGAGATGCCAGTGGGGGGCCTGCAAGGGTAAAGGTCAGGAGAGGAGGGTAATAAATATGGGAGAGAGGGATAGCTGGTCACAAGAGGACAAGCCATTTTTACTTAATGGGGACTGAGAACTGAGTTCAGAATCCTCATTACCTCCATTTGTTTAGAAGATAATTAAGTTGATTGATACCCCTAAATTGAACCTATGGAAGGGATTGTCAGCAGTGTTCTTAGCACCTGGAGGTGGGAGGGCAGCAAAGCTGTTTTACTGCCCAGAGTTGAAATGTTATGTGGGCCCCCTTAGAATGAGTGGTATATGGGGCTGGAGATTTGGCTCAGCGGCATAAGTGCCTGCTTTGCAAGCAAGCAGTCGTGAGTTCGGTCCCTGGTACCGATTAAAAAAAAAAAAAAAAAAAAAAAAAGAATGAGTGTTGTGATACCATTCAGACTTCTGATATAGCAGACTGTGCTGGGGAAGAAACCAGTTTAGGAATCTTTTTGTACATTAATGAAACCTTGCAGAATCAGCCATCAATTTTAGATAAGCAAGAGAGGAGGGATTTGGTTAATATTTGCCAGATACTAGATAGGGCCTTTCACAGTTTAAGGTGCTGCTGAAGGGCACAAGTTAATCATTGCTTCTCTCAACTCTATAGCCTTTTAGGAGTATGTATGTGTATAACTCACTTCTAGTCTGTTTGGTGGTTTTGCTAATTTTTTATAGGACCAGAATTAATGTTAACTTGATTTTTTTTTTTATTACTATTTTACACGAGAGTATTTTCTGATCGACTGAGAAACCAGTGATTGCACGTGTCTCAGTTTTTCTTCGTCTCTTTGTTTTCGTAGGGGGATATGAGACCTTCTACTCAGAATACCCTGAGTGTTGTGTGGATGTAAAGCCCATTTCACAAGAGAAGATAGAAAGCGAGAGAGCACTGCTTAGCCAGTGTGGAAAACCAGTGCCGAGCATCGGCTGCAGGCCAGCCTATGACCAGGTGTGTGATTTTTCAATTCTTGTCTTCTTCCTTGGCACTCTGATGCCTCCTTTCCCTGCTTGGCAGCGGAGGTTCGTTCTTTGTGGATGAGGGTGCCGGTACGGTCCTCCAGCTCTGAGAGCCTCTGCTGCTTGCCAGCTCGATTTCCCATCCAAGGATAAATGGGCATCCTTCCAGCAAATGAGCTGACAAGAGCAAGCAAGCCACAGGATGCTGGGCAGCTTCTGGAGAAAAGGGGAAGTGAAAGAAACATTATTACTCCTGGCTTGGGAGGTTCTGAGAAGCTTCAGGATACAGGTTTAGGTTTCCTTGAAGTGGTTCCCAAACTGACTTTTAGGCTTACTATTCTTCTTTATCATTGTCATGCTTCCCTGTACCAGTCACAGTGTCTTCTTGATACCTTTAACTGAGCCAAGGTGGGGAAAGGTAGGTGCTACAGGGAAACTCGTGTTCCATTCCGATGGCTGAGCAGGCCCTGGAGGGTTTCTGATGCTTACAGTTCTGTGCATTCTGACACTGAGAGGTCAAGAAATACTAGATGGCTTCAGGTTTCTACTCATGGATGAGAGGTTTTTTCTCTTGAAAGAATTGTGCTGTGTGACAGCTTGGAGTTACCTAGCACAATGTAAGGGGCTAGGGAAAAAATAGATGAGAATCCAGATCTGGCAGGAACCAGAACTCAAAACGCACTTTGTCATTTCAGAGAGGAGAAAAACTGCCATGACTAATGGTATGATTGATATACAGAGACCTGCAGCAGGCTCCTGCAGGCTGTGGGCTCAGAACTGCCTTCTCTTAAGTCCCTGCTTTGGTTTCTTTCAGACCCTTCTTTTGCCTCTGGCCAATCCTTCTGACTTGGTGGGGGAAGCTTTTCAGATTTCCTCCAAAACTAAGATCACAGCCTAAGTCTAAGAAGGAAGGCTTATCTTTTAGATCCTGCCAAAAATGCAAGCTCCCTGCCATAGCCAGAACTCTTCCCCTAGGGGCAGACTTCCAAGTAAAACCAGGTTGACCTGGTTTTGAATGGGATCCTTGGTCAGGAAGCTTAGTGGCTCAGCTAGGTGCCAGGGTTCTAATTCTGTTTATATTCCTTTGTGAAAAGTCTTCAGTGTGCACGTGATTGAACCCTTGGCTTTGCAGCCATGAGCAACTAACAAGCCTAGTTAGATTGCTGTTTTTGTTTGTTGAGGTTGTATTTCCCCTCTGATTCTCAGAAAGTGAAAGAGAAATAAGAGTTGGCAGTGTGTTGTGACAACATGCAGATCTTTGGCCAACTGATGGGTGGAGAGGTCTGATGTGTCTTCAGGACTCCTGGGGAACCCCCAAGTGCTACTTCCTAGAAGCGCATCTGTGTGAACAGAAGCTGGGCGAGGCCAAGTTAACCTTTGAGGTTTCTGGAGGCCTGGGGTGTCTTCCTCTTGAGTCTAAAAAGGGAAAATGCAGAAAGGGAAAGAAATGACAGTGTCAGGGGCCTGTTGGGCTACACTCATGGGAAAGCTGGGTTGGATCATAGACCTGGTGCATTAGTGTTCCAGGCCTTCAGAAAAGGCAGAGGCTGGAGCCAGCTGTCCAGCCTGTTCCTCAGGGCAAGGCTGTCTGTCCCACTGATAGGAATCTAGCTGGATCTGGTCAGCGACTGAGTAAAGCTGAGCTTCACTCTCTGACCCTTTTCTGCCACCTCTGCTATGTTCCTGGTCTCTAACCAGTGGGGAGTGGGGCCCAGGGAGTGGGTCTTGCTGCTGCCTACACCAGACTCACTGGGATTGGTTGGCCTCTGTCACTGCCCTGTGTCTTCCATAGGGGGAAAAGGCCCATGTTCGATGATGGCTCCATAATGTGCCAGGTTTAGTGCATCTATTAGCTCATTTATGTCCCACCATTTATCCTAAGAGGACAGATGTTGTGAGTCCCAGTGTATGGATAAGGTTCAGAGGTTAGCAGAGCTGCCCAAGGTCATGTCAGATAGGAAACAAGGAGCTAGAAATCGTCTAAGAACTGTTCTTTCTGATGCTAAAGTATCTTTTGTATGAAATTCTCATATGTATGGATTTCTCACACTGGTCACTGTTCATATGCACTCAGATAATGCCTTGCAGCTCACTTTAAGCGGTTAGATTTAGGTTTCAATCCCAGCTATAACACTGCCTAGCTCTGACACGGGTGTGTTATTTAATCCCATCTTAGCCTCAAGTCAGCCATGTGGGAAATAGGAATAACATTGCCTACCTCACAGATTTGTTGTGAAATTCATACACTATCAGTGCGTCTGTTGCAGTGGCGATGAACGTACTGCAGGCAGGCATGCTGCTGCCACCTGTTTGTTACCATTGAAAGCGCTAAAAGATGCACCATGGATGGTCTAAGGCATTAAGCCCAGACCTGGCCACTGCAGATAGGCTGGGGATTTAGCTCAGCGGCATACGCGCCTGCCTTGCAAGCAGGCGGTCGTGACTTCGATCCCTGGTACCGATAAAAAGGAAAAAGACAAAAAAAAAAAAAAAAAAATACTGGTGGTGGTTATTTGCCTTGTGTAAAACTGGAACTTTCTTCTAAGTGGCTGAACTGGCTTTTGCTTAAACACTTGTCGGGGAGGAAAAAGCAAACAGTAAGTGCTACGTAGATGGGTAGCTGAGCTGCTTGCTGCTTACCCCGGCACATGTACCTTCCCTGGGTGTTTCCGATCCACTCTTATTCCAGAACAGGAAACAGACAGGAAAGGGGTAGATGGTATGGGAAAGGCTTTCAGCAGCACGGTGACTATCCCCCCAGCCCAGCGTTTCCTCAATCTCTGGGGCTCCCGTTGCATGGGCCAACTGTCACTGGCTTTTTCTTGGCCCCCAAGGACACTGTATGGACTCAAGACTTCGGAGTCCAGCAAGCAGCAGTTGTTAGTGTTGCGTTGGGTGCTAGCCTCGGGTTCTCCCTTAGTCTAGCTCCTCCTCCCAGTGTGTGGGTGACAGTGTAAGCCTCTCTAAATACCAGCGCCCATGTGAAGGTCAGGGGTGGGGGAAGCCCCTCTGCCTGTGGTCTAACAGCTTTTCTTAGTCTATAGATTCTGGGTAGGTTGTAGTTATTTTCAGTTCTGAGAAGCCCACTTTTGGGGTAGGTCATGATTTACCATCTCTCAAACTGGGTCGTCCTAGGATCAGCCATTTCTCTTAGGATTGGTGAGGTATCAAATGTCTGGGGTGTGAAGTGGGGAGCCTCCCTTGCCAAACCCACCTTCATTTTATCTCTGGAGAAAACTAGCAAGGTTGCCGGGTGAGGTTCAAATGCTTGCCCTAGGATTCTCGGGGCAGTTCACACTTGAACATGGCCCTTTCTGTGCTTCCTCTCACACTATGCTACCTCTCCTAGTGCAGAAAGGCTGCTGGCATTTCCTGCCTCGATGTGTGCAAAAAAATGAAACTCTGGGCCATGTGGGTTTTGCTGTCACTGAGTCACAAGGCAGTCACGCAGGGTAGAGAGTTTGCCAGGATGGAGGCACCACCCATGCTCTTGGCTGAACTGCCCCAGCTCTGAACTCTACCTGGAAACCAGAAAGGGAACCTCTCACCCTAAAGAACAAATATAGGTCAGTTTTTTTTCCTTGTCCCAAATGAGCAAGCTCACCCATGTTTCCTGGTTGGTGTTTGTTGTGTTTCCAGGGCAGCCCCGTCGAAATCCTTCCCTTCCTCTACCTTGGAAGTGCCTACCATGCATCCAAGTGCGAGTTCCTCGCCAACCTGCACATCACAGCCCTGCTCAATGTCTCCCGCCGGACCTCTGAGGCCTGCACAACCCATCTGCACTACAAATGGATCCCCGTGGAAGACAGCCACACAGCTGACATTAGCTCCCACTTTCAAGAAGCAATAGACTTCATTGGTAGGTTCTGCCATCTCCCCTCCATGATACTGAGAGTCCCTCTGGAGCACACAGTTTTGGCTTTTGAGGTCCTGATGGAGGTTGTGTTGGGTGGGGAAAAAAAGTCTTGTGTATGTACCCACTAAAAGTCAGAGCCAAGGACCGATGCAGCCACCAAAAAGGCAGAGGGACGAACTTGAGATCCTATTAATAGGGGTTTGAAGTTTGCTGGATAAATGAATATAAATTTTATGGCAGTCCTGAGTGCCGCTCTCGTTACTGTTTCTAGCTGCATGGGAGCAGAGTGTGTCTGTGTGTACTGCTCCACGTGGGGAAAGCGGGGGAAGAACCGCCCTAACTGTGCCTCTATGTCGGTGGGGGTATTTTTAAAAGCAAACAGAAGGATTGAGAGCGAGCACTACTTACGCACTGAGCCTCAAGGGCCCTGCAGCTCTCCACGGTTTTGGCAAATGACTTTGGAGGCAATTTGTTTTGCATTTTTAGCTAATTTTAGATTAAAGATAGCTTTTGACTCAAGCACTGTGCCTTGCACATAGAACATTTGGCATCTTTGCATCCTTTCTGCATTCTTATGAGGCAGCATCGTTACTCCATTGTACCAACTTGCTGCCTTGGCTTCTGGCTCCTCTGTTTGAAGAGGGCTCTGGCCTCAGTTCGCAAGTACTCAGGTAGCCTGGAATATTCTCCCATTGGACATCTTTCTACTCCCTCCCGTTCCTGGGGTCTGACCTGGCTTGCTTTGTTTTTTTGTTTTTTTGTTTTTTTTCTTTTTGTCTCAAATTGGCAAGTAGCACCCTCATCTTGTGGCTGTGCCTCCACTTTCAGAAGCCTTCTTTGCTTCGGCCTGCATCATTGTTGGAGTTGACATGATTGTCCTGCCTCTTATTCCACGGGATGTCGCAGGGGGAAAGGTGGATATTGGGCACAGCAGTCATTACTTGGTGCAGGTAGTGATTTAAAGGGCCCTCTTCAGTCATGTGGTAGGCTCTGTGCTCACCACACAATTTCTGCTCCATGGCGATCTCAGCAAGAAACTCAGCAGAAGGCTGGGGATGTAGTTCAGTGGCACAAGCACCTGCCTGCCCAGTTCCAAAAATAAAGGAAACTCGGTAGAGCCAGAGAGTTAGCTCAGTGGTGTAACCACATCTGCCTGGCAAACATAAGGTTGTGAGTTTGATCCCTGATACCAAAAAGAAAAAGAAACTGATCAGAAGCAAAGGGCAAACCTGTCCTCCTTGTCGCCTTGAGCCTGTGGGCTCCATAATCCCTGTGGAGCCTGAGAGGCAGCCAACATGATGGGCTCCAGGCAGGAAACTCTTGACTTGTCCTCCCTGTCCCTGGGAAGGCCTTGCCCTTCTCAGCCTGTTGTTTAATCACCTAGATAGCTACTGCATGAGATCATAAAACCTGTCCCCATCAGAACTGTCTCTCCACATCGTGTGTGTGTGTGTGTGTGTGTGTGTGTGTGTGTGTGTGTTTTGCCTATGTTTGTGTACATAGCTACACAAGCCAACAATGTTTCAAAAGCACAGGGTGCATTTTTCCCTGGTGTCCTACTCTGCCATGGAGGAGAACAGAGGGCTCTGTGTGGACATATGCACTGACCCCTCCCAAAGGTGGAGGATCATGTGGAAGGCAGGCCCCTAAAGTGTGGAGGGTTCTAGGAGCAGTGCATTCTAGGCCCTTTGCATTTATGGATGTGATGGTGGGCCTTCTAAAAGCTGTACCTCAGAAGAAGCCAAACAGAAGAGCGAAGGAAAATAGAAGGCATGACTAATCTTAGGGACTTGGGTGTCCTCTTTGAACCAATTTACAGGAGTTTTTATTTTGGAAGGTGTATTTGTTTGTATTAGAGTACCACTAAAGAGCCACCCTGGGTGTCCTCTGAGGTTTTAGATGGGGACCCTATATGGTTACTTCCTGTCTCTTCAGAAAGCTTTTTTCTTTTAGATGTTGCATAATCATTTGCAAACTTAGTGAACTTGGAGCAGGTGGGTGGAGGGTAGTTAAGAGGGCCGATGTTTTCCCCCTTCAAAAATCTTTGCTTTTGCATACTGTGGCCTAACAGAGTGCCGGCTAGGTCTAACTTCCTGTGATTTTTTTCATTGTTTCCTCATTAGCAAGAGAGGGATTTGGAAAGACTATATTTTGTGGTTTTGATTTGATATGTTTTTAACAGTTGGCATTTTGTTTTTGCTGGGAGGTGTAGAACAAGAAAGGAGGGGTCCCCTCCTTTTGTCATACTAAGCGAAAGAATGTTAACTCATGGTGGCAGCTTTATAGCAGTTACTCCCATTGTTGAGCAAGATGGAGTTTGCAAAAGCCATTCGTTTTGCCCATCCAGTAAGCGTCACTTAGCCAGGGCTATAATTAATGGCTGGGCATTATTTATCATATGGTTGTGAGAACCCTGGGAGCTGAGCCAAGCATCCTGTCCTGGCACAGCAAGACCGGATGCTCAGGGAGGCCAGAAGGTCTCTCCCACAGTGGGGGTAGGTTGTTGATTTCTCTTTCAAGTCAGCCCCTGAACTTGGGATGCTCACAGAAAAACATGCATACCCAATCAAGATTTGCATCCAATTGCAAAGATTTTCCAGTGCTGTCGTGAACCTCATCAGTAGAACTCAGATTGAGATGGCACTTCAAGAGTGAACGTGATGGCACAATCCTGTAATCCTAGCACTCTGAGATGCTGGGAGGATCACAAACATTAGTGAGACCCCAAAAGCGCTGTCCTCACCAGGGGATGCCATCTCATTGGGCCATAGCTCCTGCGTGGACAGTGTGATAACTAGGTCATGTCAGCATTTGCTTCTGGTGCCTTGACACGGGCTTCAGATTCCAGTTTAAACTCATTCCTACTCCTTTCTTCCTTTCAGACTGTGTCAGGGAAAAGGGAGGCAAGGTCCTGGTCCACTGTGAGGCTGGGGTCTCCCGCTCGCCCACCATCTGCATGGCTTACCTCATGAAGACCAAGCAGTTCCGCCTGAAGGAGGCCTTTGATTATATCAAGCAGAGGAGGAGTGTGGTCTCACCCAACTTCGGCTTCATGGGCCAGCTCCTCCAGTATGAATCGGAGATCCTACCATCCACACCCAAGCCCCAGCCTCCCTCCTGCCAAGGGGAGGCAGCAGGTTCCTCATTCATAGACCATTTACAGACTCTGAACCCTGACATGCAGGGTGCTTACTGCGCATTCCCTACCTCAGTGCTGGCACCAGTGCCCACCCTCTCAGCGGTCACAGAGCTCCACAGGAGTCCTGTGGCCACAGCCACGTCCTGCTGAGACTCGGATGGGGTGCCTGTCCAGCCCCCAGAGCAACTGTGATTCCGTTCAAGTTTGTGGACATTTCATTCCTGTGCAATACTGAAGACCTCTCTCTGGCACACTGTCCCTGTGACAGAGTCAGTAGTCACCAGGCTTGCAGCACAGATGAACTTCAGACTGACCTAGAGGATGGGTCCTCGGGACCGAAGGAAGGCCAAGCCATTTGGATAGCACAGTGTGTGCTCACTACTGTACTTCAGACCCCCTGCCCTCTCAGGACCGACCAGTCCTTGCACCTCAGAATTCGCCTTCTCATTTCAAGCGTTAGGCAATAAATCCCTGCAGCACAAAGCAGGAGAGAAGTTGCTGGACTAGGAGAAAAGGCAGTTTCAGAGCCAGTTCATCTTGAAGGAAGCACAATTTCCACCTTATGTTTTGAACTTTGGCAGTGTCTGTGTCTGTCTTTGTTGCTTTAGGGCCTAAACTGATCCCCGCCTGGTCAGGAAAGTCACCTTGCTGGGTTTGTAGGGATATGATGTCTGCCAATTTAAACCCTGAAATGTTTCAGAGACTTTTGGGCCCAGGGGAGGCAATTGATTGAAATGGCCAGATGTTGACTCTTCTGGTGTCTCTTCGCTGGGAGTTCCTTCCCTGACCTTGGACTTCGGCATGACTCTCATTGCTACTTGAACCTGTGTCCTTGCGCTTCTCTTGGGAGCCACTCTGGTATCATTCACAAAGTTTTCAGACCATAAACCTAAAATCACCTCTTCGAGGTGGTGGCAGTGGGTGGGTACCTGGAGAGAAGAGTGCCCACTGTGTGTTCTGGGTCAGTGGCATTGAAAACAGTCCTTGGCCTGCTGTGTTCCTCTGTGTGCTGTGTCTCGTCTCGTGCCTCTGGGGTTATCTTCAAGCTACTGACTTCTGGGATCTATACATTTCGCAATGTGGTACTTTTCAGTCTAGGTTATTTTTCCAAGGGAAAAGGCAATAATTTCCTAAAACCCATGTGAATGTGAAGAAAAGCAGTATGTTGATTGTTTTTTTTTTTTTATAGTGCAAAATAAAAATAGTAAGACACAAGCGCTTCTTGTAGTTGGTGAATTGGTTACCTTTGGACAAGAGGCAACCTACCTACTTCCCTGGATCTTATTTCAAAATGACAGTAGGGTAGAGATGGGATGCACAGCTGTGGGCGTGAAGCTGTATGTCTGCTCACCAGGCCATCATCTTAACCAGGACACACACAGCGTGGCTGTCCAGCTGAGGGGCTTCTGTAAACCCTGCAGGGAGATGCTGAGGGTGTTGCCCACTCTGGACCCTTCACTCTCCACCCTAAGGCAGGGACTTTGGCGTGAGCCTTAGGATCCTCATGTGTGAAATGGGGTGAACCAAGCTAAATGTTCCTGAAGGTCCCTGGAAGTTCAAGTCCCTTGATTCCAGCCAACCCTGTGGCCAGCTACCTCTCCCTGCCTGGTGCATGGCAGGGTAAGAAAATAGCAGCTAGATGGCCATGGAGATGATGCAAAGTAGGTGAGCTTTCAGTGTAAAGACCCAGAACCCCTCCCCACACTATTTAACAAATTCTTGCAACAAAATTCTACATGCCACCCTCAAGGAGTTCCTAGGTAAACCCCTCAGTGAGTGGGTTTAAATCTAAGAACCAGCTTGCCTCCTGAGTAATTTCCTCTGTCTTGGTGAGGGGAGGAAGGAGCAATAGCAGCTTCTCCCCATGCTATGCTGCTCTGCTCACCCTAACTCCTGGGGCTTATTTACTAATCTGCACAAACGGAGCTGATTGGGATTCATGCCACCCTGCTCAGCCAGTACATGGACTCCAGCTATTACATGCTCAGTCCAGAGGGCCCGAAGAGCAACCCCCGGATGTGCTGTGTTGGCAAGTAGTGAGATGGCAGCCCAGCCCTACTCTCTCAATACCGCACCTCAAAGGTTCTGCCTGGGGCTTTGCTCTCTCATGCCTTTCATTTCCTCAAATCACCCTCTACAGTTCCGTGGGAGGCTCATAGGTAAGAAGGCCCCTCACACCAGGAGGGGTGCATTGCTTTCAGCTGCTTCCCTGCTCTGCCTAATCCACTAGGTGCTTCTGTGGAGAGTATCAGCAGCAAGAGAGAAGTCCTGGGGTCTGGCCCTCACCCCTCACTTGAGTGCTTTGGAGCTAATTTTCAACCTCTACAGACCAGACTTCAGGTCTTAGTGTAGCTGATGCCTAATCTTTCTGGTTCCACATCTCTGGATTGCACCCTGGTGAAGGACCCAGAAGCCTGCCCATCGCGCAGGCCTGAGGGGCTGCAAGCACAGAGCTCAGCATATGCCTGTGCAGGCAGTGGGGTGGTGTGCTAAGCCGTGCCCCACTTGCTGACATTCGATTTATTGCATTAAATGCAGGCTGAGTAAGTCCTCCAAATCAGGCATCTGAGGATTGCTCATAAGCTGGTGAGTCACCGGGGAATAGGCCAAATGGAGCCCCCAGCTGGGGGTGGCTCTGGAACTCTGCACTGAATACTCTTTCCATTAATTTCACCTCCATTTTTTGCCAAAACAGACCTTACTCTGGCTTCATGTGCCCAATGGAACATTCAAGTTGGTACTGTGCAGTCTCTTTACCTGTGATCGGAGAAACGCCTCTGCTGGCCTCCAGGATCTGCCCAGGTAGAGATAGAGGCATGCCTGGGAGAATCTCTGTGACCCCACCTAAGTCCACCTCATTCAGAGCTGGGCCTGATGGATGAGGGTGCAAGATGTGTAAGCAGCCTCAACCTTGTAACTAGCATGCTGGAAGGGGCTCTGCACACTCAGGGATCCCCTTGGTGCTAAGATCCTGGAAATGGGTCTGCCCAGGGGTGTGGCCAGGTAAGAGCCCAGCCCCATAGCTGAGGCCTTGGCTTCTTGCATAGGGTCTCACCCCTGCGTCCTGGTGGTCTCCTTCCTTGGGGAGCCCTAGCAGGAGTAGACAGATACTTCAGAGTTATAACACAGACTCTTCTGCCCCTCCATATTCTGGATGTAGTTGTCCACTTGCTCTGGGCACCTTCAGATCCTGGGATTCATGGAGGAACAAGAGCCTGTGTGGCTCCTCCCTCATCAGTCATGATTCTGATGACTGTTCACTGAACAGTCTGTCTCAGATTGGAGCTGGCTTCTGCGGATGGACCGATGTCTTCAGCCCTACTGCTAGGCCTCAGCTCAGCTCTCTCATTTACTGCAGGCCTCAAATCCCCAGATTGGCCAGCAGATAGATACAGCTGTGTTCCCTATGATACTGTGTTCATTAACTTCTGGATTTCATCAGGGTTTTTTTTTTTTTGTCTTTTTGAGACAGGGTCTCGCTGTGCATTCTCGCTGGCCTTGAACTCACTGTAAAGCCCAGGCTGGTCAAACTTGCAGTGATCCTCCTGCCTCAGCCTCCTGAGTGCTGGGATTATAGGCCACCACTCCTAGTTTCTAGTGATTAGCACATGTGTATGCAGTACATAAGGATTACATTGACCTTGAAGAATTGGTCCAGGTACCTAACATTCTAATTCTTACATTCTCTTCCTCACCTTTCCTTCTTAGCTGCATTTCCCACTACTTTCCTGCCTGCCTTCATCTCTTTTCTTCCCCATTCCTGTATCTATTTTCCATTTTACTCTTTATTTATATTTGGGGTCTCTTATATGAGGGAAACATATATATATATATATATATATATATATATATATGCTTGTGTCTGATTTATTTCACTTAACATTATGGTCTCATGCACCTCCACTGTGCTACAGATGATTTAAGTTTGACCTTTATGACAAAATAGTACTCCACTGAATATAAATGCCATATTTTCTTTTTTTTAATTTTCAATTTTTCTTTTCTTTTTTTTGGTACTAGGGATTGAACTCATGACCTTGCACTTAACAGGCAGGCACTTTAGCCACTGAGCTAAATCCCTAGCCCCAAATGCCATATTTTCTTTATTCACCCGTTGCTGGACATATGGGTACTTCCAAGATGTAACTGTGGATTGTGCTGCATGTGTATGCATGTGTCACTATAATATGCTGATTAACTCGTTTGGAGTGATACCTAAGAGGAATAGCTGTACTGAATGAAATTTATTTGTTTGTTTTTTGATGAATCTCCATACTGACGTCCATAATGGTTGTACTAGTTTACATTCTCATCAGTGATATGGAAGGATTATTTTTCCTCTGAAGCCTTGGCAGCATTTGCATTATCTGATTTCTGGATGATAGCAGTTCTTTCTGGAGTAAAATGTCATTTTAATTTGGATTTCTTTAATGGACAGGGATGCTGAACATTTTTTCATGTGTTTACTGGCCATGTGTATTTCTTCTGAGAATTGAACATTTTAGTTTCCATTTTGTGATTGGGTCTTTCATTTGAGGTGCTGTTATGTTTTTTAGTTCTTTGTTTAGTCTAGATATTAGTCTTTAATTTTTTTTTTTTTGATAGTGGGAATTGAACTCAAGACCTTGTACTTGCCGGGCAGGTACTGTACCACTGAGCTATGGCCCCAGCTATTAGTCTTTTAAGGACTAGCTGGCACAATTTTCCCCATTCTTTAGGTTGTCTTTGCATTGTTGTTTATGTTGTGCAGAAGCTTTTCAATTTGGTGTGATTTCATTTGTTGCTTCTTACCATTACCTCTTGTACAATTGGGATTTTGTTCAGAAGGTTCATGGTAGGCTGGGGAAATAGTTCAGTGGCACAGTGCCTGCCTGGTAAGCATAGGTCATGATTTCAATTCCGAGTAACCCCCTGCAAAAAAGAAGAAAAATTCTTGGCTATGCCAATGTCTTCACACTTTACCTATTTTATCTTTAAATAGATAAAGTGTTTTTGTTTGAATATTTTAGTTTGATACATAGTGAGATAGAGGCGTCTAGATTCAATATTCTGCATGTGGATATCTGGTTTTCCTAGAACCATTTGTTAAGAAGCTATCTTTGGGGGCTGGGGATTTAGCTCAGCGGCATAAGCGCCTGCCTTGCAAGCAGGCAGTCATGAGTTCGATCCCTGGTACCAATAAAAACGAAAAAGACAAAAAAAAAAAAAAAGAAGCTGTCTTTACTCCAGTATAAATTTTAGCCCCTTTGTTAAAGATTAAGGAATTGAATGTTCTTGAAATTGTTTCTGCATCTTCGATTCTGTTTGAACGATCTACATGTCTATTTTCATTCTAATACCATGCTGTTTGTTATCACTGTAGCTTTGTAGTATACCTTGAAATCCAGAATTGTGATTCCTCCTGCCTTGCTTTTGTTTCCCAGAACTGCTTTTGCTATTCTAAGTATCTTCTGGCTCATATTCCTTTTATATCTTTCTCTTCCTGTTTGTTCTGGCTAATGTTTCAAGGACTATATTGAACAGTAGCAGTAATAACAGAAAGCCTTGTCTTTTTTCTGATTTTAGAGGGGAAATTTTCAGTTTCTCCGCATTTAATATGGTGCTGGCTTTTGGTTTGTGACAAAGTGACTTATCATTTTGAGGTAAGGTTATGCTATACTTTTTTTCTTCAAGGTTTTTATCATGAATGGATGTTGGATTTTGTCAAGGGCTTTTTCTGTGTCAGTTGAGATGATCATGTGGTTTTTGTCTCTTGCTTCTGTTTATATGATGTATCTTATATTGGTTTGTATATTGAAAGAGTTTTGGCCCATACAGGATACTGTAGCTGGTAAAGCCCCAGAGGGAACCAAGGAGCTCCTATCTCCCCCACCTCTAGGAATTTACCTGTGGCGCCAAACAAAGACCAATGGGCTACCTGTGCATCCCTAATGCCCTTCAGGTTCCACCCCCAACCTAAGCTACATGTATGCCCCTACTCCACGTGTTCCACGGAGAGATCACCGACTGGGTGGGGGGGATGCCACGCCCCAGGGACTCAGGGGTGTCTCTCCCCACATATTCAAAATAAAGGTCATTTTTATTTCATACTTCTTATCTTTTCAGTCGCCGCCGGTCCCCCACAGTTCTATCATTCATGTTGAACCATCCTTGCATCCTAGGATGGATTCTACTTAGTCATGATGTATGATATTTTGTTGCATCCTGTCTTAGTT